TTTTTGCTCTTACGAAAGGATAACGCTCGAAACGTCCCCATTAAAACTCTTTGCGGTGGCCAATTGAAATTATCAACTTAGATGATAAAATCAAAATTACCTTGTTATATTCTTACCGACGCAGCACCACATTTTTTTTACAAACCTACCCTCTTTCGCCATTTTGCTATGTTGTGTTTTCGCGACTTTAGTGTATATCGATTTAATTTCAACTTTTTGCACTCAATTTAAAATTTTTCTACTGTTTGGGACTTATTGAATTATTCTCGGTCAATGAGCGTCCTGAAATTTTTGGCATGCATGTTATTAAGTGTTTTTGTTTTTGTCGTTGTACCAGTCATGCTCACTACAAACTTTTGGGTAAAAGCTGAGTAAACTGCGCTTGCGGGAGCTTTAGGACTAAACCGAAGTCTATTATAAAGCTTACTAAGCAGATAATTCCCTGAAGGAATGAATGACTTGGGAGAGAACTGCGCCAATTTGAAGTTTCCTTTTCTCAGATACTTATGCATATTTGTTGTAGGAAATCGCGAAAAATACGCTCAACCAAGTATTTTCATCATCTTTTTTCAAAGAGATGATAGTACGACCTTCTTCATGATTGTTATTTCTCCATCGAGAATATCCATTACGATATTTGTGCTAAGCTCTAATCTTAAATTTTAGCAGGAAAGAAACAGTCATGTTAACGTGATCTATTATATTTTTTTTAGTTAAACCAAATAACTTTACCTCGAAAACGGACACAGGAAATAATAATGTGTGCCCTGACATGTGGATGAATTTCACTTGCCGCTCATCTGAAGCCAATCCACCAGTTCATTACTACATACTTCTTAAGAATGATTCGGAAGTACCTTTTCACGAGAAAGGAAAATTGATGGAGAGAATATCAACAGGAAAAACATTTGTTTATAAATGTGTGCCTTATCAACAAGTTGGGAAAGTAACAAGCGCAAACAACGTTACCTGGACTGCTGGTGGTAAGATTTTGCCATAGATTACTAAAACAAGCAATCAAAATTTTAGCTCATCAAATATATTATGCAATATTTTATCCATTCATCAGTTTTAATCAAACTTCTAGAAATCGGCTTGAAATGAAAGTGATCAAACTTTAAAATCAATTTTAATTTTACAAGGCCATTACTTTCGTAATAGCTGAGACTTTTATTCTGTAGACTATTTCAGCGATGATTTAAAATATCTTTAATGTTAGGAGTCAGAGTTCTCTTGGAGTCCCACTCCAAAGATATTAGAAGTTTTCTCAATCAGTTTGTCGATTGGCGCCAGTCCCTTCAGTTAGTTAAGAATTAAAAATTGTGCATTCAACTATTGCTTAGTTTTGGCTTTGTTCTGGCTTTGTTATAACTTTATAGTATGATGGGTATCATGATTGTGTGGCCTGCAATGACGCTTAGCATGTGTTATCTCTTTTTTCCAGTATCAGAGCAAACTCAGTTTACTAGTACCATTGTTGACCAGCGTGTAAATGAGAACTCCAATCTCACCTTGGTTTGTAACACAACTGGTGATCTAACTGCCAATATTACCTGGACAAGAGTGTTGGATGATGGGAGTGATGGAGACGAAATGTTTGTAGGGAACCCTTGGATTATCAGAAACATCAGCAGAAATTTTACAGGAACATACAGCTGTGCAGCTACCAATGGGTTAAGAAAAGTACTGATTCATTCAGTGTATGTCAAAGTGATATGTAAGTGTATAATCTGAATCTGTGTAGGTAAAATCATTGAATAATGTAACATCAGTACTGTGGTAGACAACTTTGAGTTTCTTGAAATAGACTCACCTTGACGGGTAAGCTAGCTTCTATGATAGGAACAAAACAAACAAATTAATGCAAACCAAATTTGTTCGCTTTTTGATGCAACTAAATTAGAAATTTTATGTCTTTAAAAGTCCTTTTTTTATTATTATTTTTCCGCCAGTTAAACCAGTTTTAAGTACAGATGCCACTCCAACAGGTAATTCCCTTTTTAAATTTCTCTTCTTTTAACAAACATTTTGAATATCTGATAAGAATAGAAAGTATCTTGATGTCACAAAATGAATATACAATGGAAGGAAGAAGTGCCAAAATTACCGTACAGTACAGATGTAGAGCAGTGTTCCTTTTTCTTTTCAGTTGTATAGGAGGTCCATCCTACATTTAACATGATGGAGATTTAATTGCGACATCAATTATGCTCAGCCTAGCTATCTTCTAACACAAACCACTTAATTTATGCCGCACTGCGGAACTTTTTTTTTTTTTTTTCTTACGGGGGTTGGTCTCCTTATCAAATATTACAACATTGATATAAACACATAAAGTTTTCACGTTTATACTCGAATATATATAAGAATTAATCGATTAGCTATGTTCTCGCACTTGGTAGTATACTCAGTCAATGAAGTTCTTTTCCTTGGATTATTCGAAAATGTTCAAGCTGAATATTTGTTAGATATAGAGCATTCCTCAGCCGTTTTACTCAGTGAAGGCTCTTCGTACTTGTCCTAAGTTATTACAGAAAGAAACGAACCTTCGCTAGCTTCAAGAGGCACAGACGTTTACCTGACGGCGACAATACTGGAGAACTGTAGCAGACGTTCAGAAGTTGCTGCGAAATTTCCAGATGTGGTGAGAAAATCTACTTGATCAATATGATGATATTCATGGTAAACTTACACAAACAAAATAAAGACAATCATCAAAACTGAACCCTAATCAAATTGTTCATGAAAAGATATGCTTCTCCTGATACGACAATTTTTTCAATGCCTCACAGTTATGTAACATGCACCATATAAAATTAATTTTATATCCCGTTTGTTACATATCTTTTATGTCCTTATAGGCTTGTCAAGTTGCTCTTAGATTTGGCTGTTCATCTGCCAATACTGTTAACACCAGGTGAGGTGCAATTTATTTCTCATGGCATTGAACGACAAAAAGTTTAATGTAAGTTTAAGTTTATGGGAAATCTTGCGTTCAATGTTACATTCTTTTTTGTCGACGAAAATTTAATATAATGTGAAGCTGAAGATTGACACAGAACGACATTAAGTCAATATTATTTGGCTTGGGTCTTTACATCAAAGATGCATCTAACGTATTTGGTACTTAATAGTCTATGACAGAGGTAAAAAAGAGGTGCTCTTGTGCTCTCTTGTACTCTGATATACTCTTCTTTACCTCTCGTAACTAGGTGTGGCAGTGTTGTTCTCAACTTCATGATGAGATTCAATCAAAGTGTAGTAGTCAGTCGTGTTTTGAAAGTCCTGTCGGATGCTGCAAAGGAACACAAATTTGGAGTGTTTAAAGTCGATCCAGGCTCAATAAAACAAGTTTTAATACCCACAGATGACTTGGAAAGCAGAACACAGGGTAGATATTTCAAATAACTTGGGGCTTAATGGGGGCCAAAGTAATCATCTGAAAATTTCCAAAATAAATGAGTGTCTACAGGTATCCTCTTCAAAATGGCTGATTTTATGCCAAAATTTTTTAACATCCAGTTATTTATTATATCTTTTTTTATCCAATTTAAAAATAATCTTAAACAAATTTTATAAGGAGGGTAGCGCCTTTTTTTCCCCTTAGTACCTAGTCAATCAGAGGGGAATTTTTTTTTACGGTCCAAGCCTGAGACATGAAGTGAGATAAGTGCATCTTTCAGTACCATTGAAAACTTTATTTGAATATCGCTTCATTAAGCTTTATGAATCGAATTATTTTAGGTCCAGAGGAATGTAGCTACCCATGCAACAACGTCTTGCTAAAAGCCATGATTGGAGTTCTTGTCTTCATAATCCTTCTTCTATCGACTTACATAATTTGGCCACACAGGAAAGGTAAGGGACAAATAATTTTTTTATGTTAAATAGTTTCATTATAAAACCAAAGCAAATTGTTTAACTACTTCCATATCACCTGTTCTCTTCCCTTTTGTTATTTTTAGGCTCTGCGGCTAGGAAAGAGAGGTAACAATTTGCTTCCAGTCTTGATTCTGACGATGTGATGCACCTGATGTAGTATCATCATCTTAGCATAACAACTAAACTGATAAAATTCTTTGCTGCTCTTAAATATTCGTATACATTCTTAATTATAGGACTTATGAAGGGGAAAGAGGCGCTTACTACGTAAGTTACAGCTTAGGCATTGAGGTCATGTTGGTGTAACTTGACACTGTTTCCTCACTCTACTTCTGTTTTCTTAAGGAAAACAAAACAATTTCTATAAATAAAAGGGAAAAAAAGGAGGGAATTAACCAAAAACAAAACAAAAACAAACAAAAATAAAAAAAAACAAAAAAAACCAATAACCAAAAACAAACAAAAAAACAAACAAAAAAACAAAAAGCAGATACAATGTAATGGCGGAGACCACTCGATCGGATGAGGACTTTGTCCTGAGATCAACTCCTTTACCAAGCTACTCACTGACTTGTTCACGGTTGTCCCGAGTTCAACTATTAAGGTGAGCTTAAAGATAACCAAGGGGTCTGCGTACGGTTGAGATTAATTTGTTTTCGTTATTGCTGTCATTTTTCTTTCTTATTTTCTAATCAGCACATAGGAGATTAGCTTTGCAAGAGTTTTGTGTACATTTATCAAAGGTTATCACCAATCATGAATCTTTATCTTTTGGATAATTATTTTCCACAACAATTTAATAATTTCAGCCTTCTTTTAATAGTTTCAGCCTTCTTTTAATAGTTTCAGCCTTCTTTTAATAATTTCAGCCTTCTTTTAATAATTTCAGCCTTCTTTTAATAATTTTAGCCTTCTTTTAATAATTTCTAGCTCTAGTAAAGGAAGAACCTAAAAATAACCTTGGTGAAAGTGGGTAAACAGTTTTTTACCGTCTGGTATAACCCGTCAGTGAGATTTTTGTTATATATTTATTTACAATACATTAATGGGTGTGCTTCTTCAATAGAATGAAATGACATTAGACGAGCACGGACAACGCCAGCGCGATTCAAGCAGTCTCACTCAGCCTCCTACGGAAATCATGGGTCTCAGAGAAGCCAGCAGAAATGATAGAATAGCACAAAGTAATAGTCCAGGTGCTGATTACGCGCCTCTTCATCCATCAACACGTTCTTGGGAAGTTCCAAGAAATAGCGTTACTATGGAAAAATACATTGGTGAAGGTGCCTTTGGTCAAGTTGCTAAGGGAACTGCAGTAGGACTTCGAGGGAGGCCTGAAATGACCACGGTGGCAATAAAGATGCTTAAACGTTAGTTCTTGTACTGATTTGAAAATATTTTTACACTTTTTTGTTTGTTTGTGTTGATTTTGATTACATTGAATGACAGTTTTGGCCAACAGTTATTCAGAAAATGTAACGAGGCCAAGCTTTCACCTTTTTCCCAACTATTTGCTAAGTTAAGGGAATACGTTTCTAAAGAGACTGTGGTGCTGCGTCGGTAGGAGTAACAAAGCAATTGGGGGTTGCCCAACTGATTTGATAACGTGAATTGGCCACCGTAAAGAGTTTCCTGGCGTTTGCCCCTCGTCAGAACGAATGGCGAGAACTAATGCTCAAAACGTTAGCTTTTAAAACTTATTACGGTGGCCAATTTACATTATCAACTCAGTTGATAAAACCCCAATTATTTGCTTTATCATACATTGTAGTCACCATCTGTCTTCTCATTGGCTAAACGCCTACAGTTAATTCTGGGAAACAGCGCAACCTACAGATTATTCACTAATCTGTACCCACAGATTAGTCAATAATGCGCGCAATGCATAATTTCCGGTGGAGCAATGTCAAGTTCACGAACAGCGAAGAAAGAATGGCTTCTCCATTCGCTTCATCGACCCATCGAGAAATTGAGAAATTACTTAAAGATAAAGATTCGGAAAATACTAAAAGTATTTACAATAAAACAACTATTGGATGAGGTTTTTGTGATATCCAAAATAATCAAGGTCTCGGTTAGTGTTATCAGCCTCAGCCTTCGACTCCGGCTGATAACATTTTTCTCGACCTTGATTATTCCGAATATCAAGAAAACCTCATCTAATAAATGTTTAATATTATCTCGGCATTTTGCATTTTAATCGCATTAAACGATTTTGCCTCTTCGCATTTAATTCTCTAGCTAACGCTGCTGAATCAGATAAAAGAGATTTCATAAAGGAACTTGAAGTAATGAAGAGGCTGAAACCGCATCCTCATGTCATTAAACTTCTGGGTTGTGTTACGGAATCTGGTATGCGCTTTGTTGTATGGGTTTTTTTCGCTATACGCGTCTTCCATATGATTCACTTGGTAACACCGTCTCGTCCAATGATAATTTGCTTCAATAGCAAAGCTAATCCACCATATGTGAGCACAAGAAACAAGTGTTGTTGACGGTATTATTAATATTATTATTATTTTCATTTTGAGTTAAAAAAGACGCTCCTGGATTTTCTGGTGGACTTCATGTAAGGTCCATGAAATACAGAAAATAACTGCACTGAAATGATAAGTTTAGCTCTCGTTTAAGCAGAAAATTTTTTTCGTGAGCTAAGAATTGGTCTGTAATTTCCTACGACAATATTTTCAAAACCATTCTTCTTAAAACTATACACAGGGGCTCAAGCTCTCCATGAGAGGATATTGATAGATAGGTTTAGCCGAGCCTAAAGGCGGCGCTCCAACTGCTTTAATTTCTATCCCTTGAATTTAGCACTGGCTGTCGGGTGGGGAGTGGAGAAATTGAGAGGGTCTAGAACCGAGGGATGTTGTTCTAACAACTTGCAAAGCGATCAATGCGAATGCCCGTCAGCGGTATTTTCAAGCAGCTAAAGATTTTTGTTAATTTTCTTAATTTTTTGAACGGATTTTCGAGGATAAGGAATGTTTGCTTCTTCAGGTTTATTGTATGACTTCAGTACTAGTTGAAATAATATTCTATTAAGGGCAGCCGACAATTTCGGCGGTAGGTCAAAATTGCTGTTCAATAGGAAAAACCTCAATGATTGTGATGTTCCAGTGATTTTTTTGATGATGTGTGCCCCTTTCTTATGGCCACCTATTTGTATTATCCATCTTTTACCAGCTGGCATTTGAGAAGAATCAAGACCACGCTGGTAATTAGCCACATTGTGGGCCAACCCTACAACCGATTATCTTTTTTTCGTGAACAGACATGACGGGTATTAGAGGAAATTCGAAGTTAACGAAAGTATCCATTCTTCAGTATTCTGTGATCGTTTTTCCATCAAATGGTGAAGTTTATAGTTTACCTAATTTCAATCTCTTCTATCAATTCGGCCTTAACTGTTGTTACCGGAGTTTAAGTGTCATACAAATCTATTTAATATTATCCTCTCATGGAGTGTTTGTGATGGAGAGCTTGGGGCCCTGTGAACTGCAATTTGTTTTGCGTCATTTCTTCAAACTAAGTAGTGAGCGATACTGTATTTATAATTTTTATTAGTAATTTATCACTTACCTTGTCTAATTTCTTCAGAGCCACTGTTGGTTTTGATTGAATACGTGCCTTTTGGGGATCTGCTGGGTTACCTGAGAAAGAGCCGTGGGTTAAATGACACCTACTACAAAGACCCGCATATCAAACCGCAGACAAATCTGACGTCACAGCAGCTGATGAATTTTGCTTGGCAAATTGCTGATGGAATGAGTTACTTGTCATCAAAATCTGTAGGTTAAATAAAAACACACACAAAAAGAAACTTAACTAAAAACACTCTTGTGAGGTGTACCGTCATGTTAAGGTCTGTCTTTCATGGAATTTCATGTCTTCTCGCAAGCACACCCGAGAGGTGCAAATGAAATAAATGGAATAGCTAGGTATTGTCAAAATAGAGAGAATATTCTTAGAATATGCAGCAGTAGCAGAAAAAATCTGCTCCTACCATATTATGATAGCTAAATAATTATATTTACTAACTGAGCCATTTAATTTCATTTCTTTTTCTTCTCTAATTGACATATTTCGTTGTCATATCAATTATTTCTTAGATAATTCACCGAGACCTTGCGGCCCGTAATGTCTTGGTTGGACAAAATGAAAGGTGTAAAGTGACAGACTTTGGAATGGCCAGAGATGTGCGACAGGAAAATATTTATCAACGAAAAACTGCGGTAATCCAAGAATGGGTGGAGGGGAAGGGGGTAGGGGAAGGAACTGGAACTCAGTTCCATATCGTTCAGTAAGGGATATTTTATAGTCATGGTTGTGATAGTGCTGAAATATTCATAGTTTCAATGATTCAATCCTTAGATCGTGCCCTAATGAAAAATATTCATACTTAGGCGAGTATTGCATCCACCAGCACTGTCTTTTATTTGTCGCTTCTATACTTTTTGAGGTGTTTGAAAAGGTAATGTTTGAACTCTCTAGGGCCGTCTTCCGGTGAAGTGGACAGCTTATGAAGCCTTGTTGTATAGTAAATATACCACCAAAAGTGACGTGTAAGTATTTCTGAACATTGCGCCATACCGATGAATTCTAATCATATTTCAAAACTTGTAAACGGTTTTAATAAGGACATGGATTATATTCTTTCCAAAAAAGATTTTAATTCGTCTTACATCATTTTTTGTCTTCATTAATCTAATTTGCCGAACTTTGATTTGTCTTTCTGCAGATGGAGTTATGGAGTTGTCCTGTACGAGATTTTCACCATAGGTAACATATGATGGATCTCTATGATAAAAGTCTGTTTAAGAGTCCATACAATATGTATACAATTTAAATGACATACATCTTATCCTACATTTAATGAGACAATGTATTCTGTCTAGCTAGACAAACGCAGCGAATTCTTTCCTTTAATCTCAAACTCAGTTAAGTGACGCAGGTAATGTTATAGTGAAGGTAATTGTATCGTCACATTTATATTTGATGGTCTTGTGGTTCTCAATCAGGCGGTTCACCTTACCCAGGAATGGATGGAACAAGAATTTTAGGTCTACTTCAGGAGGGATACAGGATGACTAAACCACAACACATCGATGATAAATTGTAAGTATTTTTTTTCAACCCTTTTTTCAAAAGGATAAAAAATATATGCATCTCTCAAACATCAAGTGATGCTTGTTGGTCGCAAGATTCGATAACATCAGAGATATTCCATTGAAAAATCTTCAGGTATCAGATCATGCAGGGATGTTGGCAAAATGACCCGGATGCAAGACCAACATTCACTGAATTGAAAAATCAGCTTAAAGGCATGGAAACCATATACAAGGTGAGGATTATAATCAATTTGCAAAAATTCCTTAATGCAGTTTTCAACTTCACAGCGCTTCATCGAAATGCCTGAGTAACATCACTCATCTCTTGCTGAGCTTAAACTGTATCTCCCCTTTATATTACTACACTACGCTACACAAAGTATGATAGGAAGCAGACTAAGATGCTCTAACGACAAAAGAACCTCTAGGGTTATTACTTAAAAGATCATGAAATTGAGTGCAAAACTGTATTAAGCGACGAAAAAAGTAGCAAATAGCGATACCTTACAATACTTTCCCATATGTATTTGCCTAGATAAATAAAGCTGGCAACGTCATAGGATAGCTGCCCATAACGTACAAGGATCACGATTATTTTGATAACGCTCGTGAAAACTTCTTTTCTCTCCTCAGAGGCTTATCAACATGAGCATGTATGACAAGCAGTTGTATGCAAATGTCGAGGATTTGATGGTGTAGCTAGCTACACGTCCACAGTTTATGCTTGGCTAATTGTCTGAACGCTTTGCCCCGATAAGTTTAAGACATAAATTACCCTCGCCGTAAGCGTTTTCTTCATAGAAAGACAGGACGGCGTACTGATACCTTCCCGGAGAGAATCCCTTTTACCAAACCCATGGAATACCACTCTGAGTACCATGGTTGTGTACAATTTCAGCAAATCACTGAAAACAGTCATACCGTGAGACCTGAATATTTATAGGAAAGCTACATTAAGCCATATCAATAATATATTATTATTTTGATATATTAATTAAGTTTGATATCAAACTGCACTTTGCCAGCGATAGCAAATCCAAATACATTTGCAGTGAGAAATAAGTGTAAAGTTTTTATTACGAAGTTGTTCTCGTAATTACCCTTGACCTGTTTCGTCTCTATGACAAGTATGTAATTTTGTAAAAAAGCAAAGCCCGATAGTTTAACGCTTAACAGTCAGTAACACTCAACCAAAATGATCATAGGTACGTGTATCAGTTTTTTTTTTCTCGGACACAAAGTTAGTATCGTGGCTTAAAAACGGCCTTTGTAATAAAAGTGTTGAAAACTACACAAGTGATTCTGTCTACATGATGACAAGGTTAAACTTCCACTTTAAGACATTAATCTAGTAGATCTTGACCCATCCCTCTCTCCTTCAAAAGGATAACGATAGCAAAGCAACGCCATTTGGGTGAAATGAAGCTTCATTAAGTGTTACAAATCGCTAGTGGGTGTTTTGGAACACCTTTTACCAGGAGACTTTGTTCTCCTGCCATATGTAGAAGTTAAGAGTCAATCCATCTTGCAGATTGATTAACAAGGTTTACCTTTTGGTCAGTTTTCTCGTTTCCTCAGCTTCACAGAACCCGCCTTTCTAAAGGAAGACTCAAGCCTAGCCTTAGTGCATAAACCATAATTTTCATTTCAATTTTATGATGCGCTAAGCTCAATCAAGTAACAGGTTATCCATTAAATATTTTCAAAATCTCCAAGCACAATGACGACCATAGAGTGGAGCTAGATCCTCTCCTCTTGTTCTTCGACAGCGGTGTCACTTAACTTCCGAAGTCTGTGTTCGTCTTGAACTCAGGCGTGACAGACCAAGAATTGTCAAAAGTCATGATATTTGATATAAATGATCTTTCGTCCATAGACATCTTTATTCAAGACTGAGATACACATCTGCTATAACCAGCGTTTTGGCGTAAGATAGAACTCTCTGCCATGAGTATGACCAGAGTATTCCTCGATCACTTTGTAATTCTTTTCGGTGTTTATCGCCTGGCAAGTAAGTAACCGCCTCCCGGTTAGTTCAATGAATAGAGCGCTGGATTGTTGTGCGGGTGGTCGAGTGTTCGAGCCCCGGCTGGACCAACACTCAGGGTCTTAAAATAATTGAGAAAAATTTGCTGCATTTCTATAACATCAAGAAATGGTTAGATATTCTAGTCTTCTCGGATAGGGACGAATAAATGGAGGTCCCGTCTCTTGCAGGGTTGGGGTAGGAGACGTCGTTAATTTCCCACACACGAGATTACTGTGTTATGCATGTCCTCCCCTGGGGTGGGATGGTGGGTTTATTGGGCCTGCAGTAAATGGCGCAAGCTGTTGCAGTGTTGGCGAAGCTATTAAGTTAAACTAAATTAAATTAAAGATATACTATAAGATATCCTGTCACAATTAGGGTGCGTATCGCGAGAATCTGATGATAGTTTGTCCCTCAAACGAAGAAAGCTTTCCTCCTCGAAGTATTTGTTAATCTTTTTTGTGTTCTTACGAGTAACCAGAAGGGATCGAATCATTTGAACAATGTCAACGCACATTACATGTTACACGCCAAAGCAAAATAGTGGCCATTGCATAGCTATCACCTATTTTTCCATGTGGAGGAAACGAGCTCAATACCAAGTCTTTGCACATCTTTGCCACGAGGACAAAAGTGCTCATACCAACAAATTTCACCTGAACTTTACTTCAACAGCAAATATTTGTAAATTTCATGGTTGCACTTCACTCTTGCAAAGGAGTCAAAATTAAATACAAATGTGGCATTTATGAGCATTGCCAAGGGGGGCAAATCTTGCGCGTAAATAATATTTGCTTAAACATAAATGTGTACAAATCCTGGCAAGTGTGGCATTTACCACAGTTTTGCCTTATCTTTGACACCTATGTAAATCCACTTTTTAGAACAGATTCAAAGTCTAATAATCTGATAAGTAAAAGCATATCTAAAACTATACAGAAAAGAGAAAGGTGAATGGCAAATCTAGAACCCTCTATACAAGGTTGCTAAAAATCATCAAACAATATCAATGGCTCCCTTGGCAGCTGCGATTTCAACGTCACAATTATTATAGTCATTCGCAGCGCGGCACTTCACCCGCGATCCTCGAAGTCAAACTAAGGCCGACCGAATTAATAATAATAATAATAATAATAATAATAATAATTTTTAACGAGGGAGCCCAACTCGCCTTAGCGGTTTTCTGTGGGGCCCTCATTAAAATAATTAAAGTAATTACCTTAGTTGATGAAATAATAATAATAACAAAATAAATCAAATAAAATGTGTTTACAAATGAGTCTAAAAGAGTCAAAATCTTAAAATCGATAACTAATTGAAATATCAAAGTTTAAAATTAATAAAAATCTTTTAAAAAAGGTTTTAGCTTGGATTTAAAAATAGATAAGAGATGTGTGTCTTTCAGATCAGTTGGAAGACTGTTCCAGTCTTTCGCAGCTTGATAGATAACTGTTTGTTTACCCCAGTTAGTTCGAGGATGGGGTAAACGAAGATCATTGGAACGTCTTGTGTTATATGAATGGGCAGCTTGATTTTTGATCAAATTAAAGTTAAAATCAGTTTCCCCAACCAGACACTTGTGGATTGCAATGCAGCGATGTAAAAACCTTCTTGCAGAGAGCAACTTGAGATCTATACTCCTCAGTACTTCGGTTGACGAGCTTCGGGGTGGGTGCTCCAGCACAACTTTAGCAGCTTTTTTCTGTAGGATCTGTAATTCTGACGTTATTGTGTCATTGTTCTTGTCCCGCCATATAACATCTCCGTGATCAAAAAGCGAGAGGACTAGGGTATCGTACAAGGTAACTCTAGTTTATATTGGTTTAGGCCTATCCTTTGATTAATCTTTGTGCTGATAGCATCGATATGATCTTCCCGTGACATAGATTGGTTGAATGTCACGCCGAGGTACTTGAATGATTGTGTTCGCTCAATACAAGTGCCTACTTGAATCAAAATATCTGGAATGCGATTTAGTTTCTGAGGACTTTCAAAGGTAACAATATTGCATTTGGATATATTTAGAGTAAGAAGATTTCTACAAAACCACTCAGACACTGTTCGTAAATCAGCATTGATATGATATAAATCAGCATTGATATGAAGTTCAGGATCACTGATGTTTTTGGATGAGTAATAGATTACAGTATCGTCTGCGTAAAGAATAATATCGCTTGCCAGATGAAAATCCGGAAGATCATTCACCTAAATCAAAAACTGAAAAGGTCTCAGTATACTGCCTTCGGGTACCTCGACAGGCATTTCGGTCGCTGCAGAGTGAGCGTCTCCAACCGATGTGATTTGTAACCTGTTTGTGAGATAAGATGTAAACCACTGGGTGGTAGAGCTGGTGAGACCGATGTTCGTCAGCCTTCGTAGTAGCAAGTGATGATCCATTGTATCAAAGGCCTTAGATAGGTCTAAAAAACAGCAACTACAAAGGAACCACATTCTGAAGAACATAGTTAGTAGAACTATGTGTGAAATAACCCTAAACAGCAAAAACAACAACAACAGGAAAAAAAAAACACTATCCATTTACGGAGCCGAAACTTGTGTCACTTTATTACATTTTCATTTGGTTTTTCAGTTCCAGATTATTCACAGCCGCTCAGCTTTGAGCGCCAGTTTTCCTCAGTGGACTTCTCAGAAGTATCTCAGACGGTCAATAAACCAAAACCCAGTTTACAAGGGACCGGTGAACAACATCCAGAAAAGAAGGAAGAGGACCGAGACCTTAGCGCTCTGTTTTCTTGTCCGCGCGAGGCTTGTGTTAAGATGTATCAGCGTCACTATGCTTTGGATAATCACTTATTGTATGGGCAATGTGAGTTTCAGAGAAAGTCTTATGAACAACGCCAAAGTATTATACCATGATGAACTACTTTGTGGGGCGAACAACCTGCCTTCCGTGAAGGCTGAGTCAAGTCAATCTCCGGTAACAACTGAGGTTCTTCCACAAGGGTGGGCTTTAAGATCCACTAGAAAGGCAACGAGGTTTAGCGATTCCCAGCGACAGTACTTAGACGCAAAATCTAAGGTCGGGCAAGCAACATGTAGGAGTGAAACTTGATCTAGTGGATGTTGCACGTGACATGCGTTAAGCGCGAAACCAGGAAGGGCAAAAACTGTTCACGATAAGTGAATTTTTGATCGAACAACAAATTCAGTCATATTTTTCAAGACGAGCCTCTAAATTCCGACATATTCATTCGGACGATTCAGAGTCTGATCAAGGCGAAGATATTATGGCCGCTGAAAAGGAAATCGCGCACAGAAATGTTCACGCAGTTGTGTTAAAGGTACCCAATTGTTTTCGAAACTTTCAACTTCTGTGACATGCACAAGGCGAGTAAACTGCGACAGCTAAGTGTTTCCATGCTGTGTTCCATTTTGACATTGAGGTGATGAACATCAAAGGACGACGCAAAGCTCCTTACTTGTCTCTACTGGTAGCATGCAGTTTTAGTAATAGTTAGGATCTATACCGACTAATTAATAAATGAACATTCCATCATCAACATTCTTTGATTTTACGTTTGAAAGCAAAAAGCTTATAATTGGCTTGGAAACACGGCTTCATAAGGGAAATCAGGCCTTCGACCTAAATCAACCTTGTATATTCTTACTTAAGTATAGAACATTATGCCTGATGCCAAAATTGTACCTGCCAGAATCCCATGCGGGCAAAATCCTTCAGATCCTAGGCTGTCTAGTTTTTAACTATGAAAATTGTTTTTTATTACATCACGGAGGCCTAAGGTTTTCTTTCCGGGTAACAAGCACTTAATGGGA